TTGGGTCGGAAAAAAACTGATTGCATGACGAGGGCTTTTGTAAAGCGACATTCATTTTGCCATCCCTGAAAATGGGACATTAAAATAACATTTCATGAGTTGTTATACAAATAACTACACGATTCAAAATCAATAGCGAAAATATGATTAGTTTCCTGTACAAGTTTTACATTGAAGCTCAAAGATTAAGCTGAAAAAAGGAGTATATTGATTCAGCAGTGAGGAAATGTCAACATTAAAACAGCAAAGTGGGAACAAAAAGCACCATAAGAGGCCATTTATAAACCCGAAATTCGATAATTTGGAATAAAAAAGCAATTCCGCTTTCTCAAAGCGGAAGAAAGTTGAAGCTGATTGAGCAGAAAATCATAACAAGAGTCTTCTAATGACCTGAACTAAGAGCTCTGAGGCTTAATTGGATGAACTGCTGTGTATTGTGTTAATGGACTTATTGGGAGTGTGAGGGTTCACATGGGAATTATTATTTACAATAAAAAAAACAAAAAGAAAGCAGAAGATATCTTCTGACTTCTCACAGAAAGTTTTGATCTGGAATTAGATGAGTTTTTCTAAAACAGTCAAAGCTTGAATTAGAAGAATTTAAGTCCCACCAGAGATGAGAGACTTTGGACAAAAGAAGGAAAAAGATTTTTTTTAATAGTAGCCAGAGAAAATGAGCTCACTTTAATGATGAACAAGTGCACTTCGTTAGAAGAGGAAATGGAGCAAAATTGGAATAAAAACATGGAAAGAAGTAGACATAAATGTGCACCAGTGAGGGTGTTTTCCTTCATTGTGATCCTGTAAAGCAGGAAGGAAAAGCAACCAGAGAAAACTGCCACATTAAAGAAGATCTGGATAAATAAATAAATAAATAAATAAATAAATAAATAAATAAATAAATAAATAAATAAATAAATAAATAAATAAAGCCTCAAAGTCCTCAACCCAGAGGGACACCTGGGACTGGATACCAACCAAATTTCTTCACAAAATATGACCAATTCAGTACAAGTAGATTTGATTATTGAGCATTATAAGAGAAGTAGAAGTTCTACTTTTAGCAATCTATAAGAACAAAGTGGTAATGATGCTTTTATAACTTACGACTCCAGAAAACTGAACGTTGGATTTTTTTATTTTTTTGTAGGATTAAGGTTTCTATTACTTTGTGTACACCTCATTCCAGATAAGAAGAGAGGACATGAAAATAAATTAGCCATGAAATTCAGATGAGTCTCAGAATTAGGTTTGCTTCCCCTCTTATGAGTCCAGCGTTTGCAGAAACACGACTGGGACAGATGTGTGGACAGATGTTGCTCCTCTGATTACATTACAGCAGAGTCTGGTGGATCTGTAAAGAGATTCTGAGCATGGTGGAGCTTTTCCACCTGAAATGTTCCTGAATGGGTGCATTTTGGGATTGTGATGGATTTCAATTCAGTTTACATGGAGGCATTTTACTGAGAATTTTCAATTCGAGTCATATTTATTTATATAGCGTCACATCACAACAACAGTTGTCTCACAGCGCTTTCCAAACAGAGCAGGTCAGACCCTACTCTGAAGTTAATTACAGAAACCCAACCATTCCCACCATGAGCAAGCACTAGGCGACACAGGCAAGGAAAAACTTCCTTTTAACAGGCAGAAACCTGGAGCAGAACCATGGCACACGTGGGCGGCCATCTGCCTCGGCCGGTTTAGGGTTAGAGAGAGAGAGGGCAAGAGAGAGAGGGCGAGAAAGAGGCAGCCTACAGTAACACATATAATGGATGATATTGAGACTAATGCTAATGCTAGCAGTTATGATAGCAATAACACTATGCAGAGTAGTAGCAGAGCAGGAACACGGGGGCAGCAGGAAACTCCCAACCACAGCTCCAGAGCCAGGAATATCTGCAGAAAGTGATAGGAGGAGAGAGGAGAGAAAGCACACGACTACGGGGAAGGGAGAGAGTCCAGAAATGTCGCCCAGCTAAGGATCCGATCCTGAGTGGGCAGGACTGAGGACAGGAAACAGGCTCGGGACGGGTGCTTAGATAGAAAAAAGGGGAAAAAACAAGTTGATAACAACAACAATGTTACAGGAATGTGCCGAAAAACCCAAAAGGAGAAAGCAGAAAAGGTGAATCATGGGAGCCCCCCCCCTCAGAAAGGACTCAGATGTGGAAATCGAGTAACAAAAGGTTTATTAAACCCAAAACGCACTCGCTAGGAGTGGAAGCAAAGTACAAAATAAAGATCACTCAACGGGGATGGTCATAAAAGTAATAAATCAAGATCACTCAAAAATACGAGGGTGGAAAAAGCTCATAAACAAAGTAACAAAATAATACTCACAAGGAGTCAGAACCAAACGAGGAGGACCAAAATCAAAATCACTCTTTCGAGGAATACCGAGGTTCAAGGTGCAATGCAAAGAATAGTTTAGTCCTTTAATAGACAAATAGTCCTTTGGTTTCTCAATAGGACTCAGTGGGACTAAAACCCACTGGCACCAGACAAGGGAAAACACAAACTATCTAACCCATGAGGGGAAGGGAACCCCAGGGGAAAACAATAGGTGATCAGGAAGACGATTGGACAGGTAAAGTGACCCTTTTTACCAAAATAAAACAGGAAGTGACGAGACCACATGGAGACAGGTCTAAAAAACCCCATCTACATAACATCTGGGCCCATAGCAGCAGAACTTTGGGCTGTTTTAGGGTCCCTGATCCATCTCTAACACTATCAGATTTATCAAAAAATGAAAGTTTCCCGCCTGATGTGGAAGGTAGAACCCAAACCGGTTCCACGGAGAGGATCCTGATCCCTGGAGGCTTTTACAAACTCTAGGAACCACACATCTCTCGAAGGTTCGATATCTTTTCTTTTTTTTTTTTTTTACTTTGTTTATTGAACATTTTGAACATAAGACAGACATTGTTGGGACAAATTCAAAGTGTCAATGCAAATCTCAATGTCACAGTTCTGTCAACCCCAAATCCACCCTGACCCACAGGCCAAAAAATAAATAAATAAACAAATAAACAAATTAATAAATAAACAAAGAAAAAAAAGGGTATAAATAAATAAATAAATAAATAAATAAATAAATAAATAAATAAATA